TTTCAGCTGCAAAAGAGTGAGAATAAAGAGCATGGATTTCCCTGGATATCAGAGAAATGATGGTGTTGGCAGTATATTTGTTCAAATGGACAAGAAAATGGAAAAATGTTTATCAATTCCTGTAGCAAAACTACTGTGAGTATAATTCCCAACACTTGGGTTTTTGAGCCAAGGGCAGACATACTATGTGATACTCACTACTGAAAAACTTGTACTCACCCTGCCTTTATTCTGAGCCAGAGGCCACTAAAAGAAAGATAAATAAGATGACTTAGGTGCGCGCACACACAGGTTCCAGTACTATATATATGTATGTTATAGCAGGAGAATGTATTAGTGAGAATATATTTTAAGGGGGGTAGTCATGTCTAGTTTAACACTGTGATCAGCTTCCACCTGAGTCTAGAAGGATAAACAAAAAAGTTCACTAAGAAGGAAAGGAAGAAAAAAGCATTCCAGGCTGAAGGAAACTGCCTCCAACCCCTACCTCTGCTTCACCACACACACATTCGCACACGAAATACACATTTGCAAAGGTTGTGCATGTGCAGCATCCAGCTGGAATGCTGCCCTGAGACGAGGCTGGGGCTGCAGATAAGAGGAGGCCACTGTTAGAGGACTTAGGTCTCCATGGAGTTGACCTTAGTACTTAGGCCCCTCTGACTTCAAAACCAAAGCTCTTTTTAGGCACCTTTTCTCTCTAGTTTATTATTATTTTTTTTTCATCTTCTCTCCCAGGGATCCCTCATCTTCTCTCTTTAAAAGACAATCCAGGGCAGCCTGGGTGGCTCACTGGTTTAGTGCCTCCTTTGACCCAGGGTGTGATCCTGGAGACCTGGGATCGAGTCCTGCATTGGCCTCCCAACATGGAGCCTGCTTGTGTCTCTGCCTCTCTCTGTCTCTCTTTATGTACCTCTCATGAATAAAATAAATAAAATCTTTAAAAAAAGACAACCCAGAACCCTCTTAGCCAGCACTGTGGTTTGATGAAATCTAGTCCTCATTCTATCCCCTATAGCAAAATATATCATTCCTCTTGGACTGCAGGGTCCTTCCATGTCAGAAAAGAATTCTTTTAGCCCAGCTTAGTATTTTTCAAGCTAAATACTCTTAGTTCCTATAATGGTTTCGCTCTGGTCATCATCATGATCATCTTCCTCTGGATGTGATCTGATTCATGAAGCTGCATCTCAAAAGGGAAGCACCTTGTAGTGTTGGACCACTGAACACCATTGGTTTAGTGGGTTGCCCCCTTTGATCCAGACAGTGTAACTCCTCCTGAGGTCTAAATGTGTGAATTCTTTTTTCTTTTTTAAGATTTAAAAAAAAATATTTTCTTTCTTTCTTTCTTTCTTTCTTTCTTTCTTTCTTTCTTTCTTTTTTTTTTTTTTAGAGAGAGATAGCGAGAGAGCACAAATAGGGAGAAAGAGCATGAGGGGGGTGGGTGCAGAGGGAGTGAATTCTTTTTTACTTTTTTTTAAGTGAGCTCTACGTCCAATGCGGGGCTTAAAGTCACAACCCCAAGACCAAGCATCACATGTTCTACTGACTGAGCCAGCTAGGTGCTCCCCTCACTTTCATTTTTAAGTAAAAGCATTTCTTTTCATCTTCTCTTTATTATTATAAATATATGCATTCTTAAGTAGCTGGCAAATCTCTCCTTCCATAGTTTTAAATGGATTATTCTGAAAGCTAACCCTTTTTTGAATACATTTTAATAAGTTTCCATGATCGAAATACATTTTAAAAAATATTTTATTTATTTAACAGAAAGAGAGAGAGAGCACAAGCGGGGGGAGCAGCAGAGGGAAAGAGAGAGAAGCAGACCCCCTACAGAGCAGGGAGCCCCATGTGGCTGGATCCCAGGACTCTGGGATCATGACCCAAGCTGAAGGCAGATACTTAATCTACTGAGCCAGCCAGGCGCCCCATCCCAAATACATTTTAATGCAAACATTTTCTATTCTCTGTGAAATGTTCTTTCAAAATTATCTAAATATTGACTAAGGATTTTCTAACCAGTAATGGATACAAAAACCTGTGTTTTCATTCTTAGTTCTGAAATGGTGGCTGAGGGGGACGCCTAGGTGACTCAGTGGTTAACTGTCTGGAGTCCCACATAATAAATAAAATCTTAAATAAATAAATAAATAAATAAATAAATGCCTTCTCAGACCCAGCCACTGTGCTGGGAGTCAGAGTACAAAGAGGAGGAAGACTGAGTCCCTGATTTCATGACACTCACAATCCAAAAGACAGTACATTATTTCTATTTCTTCACCCACTATTTAATTTTCTTTTTTTTTAAATTTTTTAATTTATTTATGATAGTCACACAGAGAGAGAGAGAGAGGCAGAGACACAGGCAGAGGGAGAAGCAGGCTCCATGCACCGGGAGCCCGACGTGGGATTCTATCCCTGGTCTCCAGGATCGCGCCCTGGGCCAAAGGCAGGCGCCAAACCGCTGCGCCACCCAAGGATCCCCCCCCCTTTTTTTTTTTAAAGATTTTATTTATTTATTCATGAGAGACACACAGAGAGAGAGGCAGAGACACAGGCAGAGGGAGAAGCGGGCTCCAGGCAGGGAGCTCAATGCAGGACTCCATCCCAGACCTCCAGGGTCATGTCCCAAGCCAAAGGCAGGTGTACAACCACTGAGCCACCCAGGCGTTCCAAGAGTCTGTAATTTTGTTAGAGAGGGCACAGTTAATATTAGAGAGGGTGTATTAAGTGTCATACTAGTAGCTCTCACATGGATGCTATAGGAACTCAGAAGAAAAAAATGACTATATAAGACAAAGGGCCATGTGGCAGATAGACCCCAGGTGGCCCCATAATTCCTGCCCCTGCTGTTCACACCCTGTATAATCCCCTCCCCAGAGTCCCCCTGACTGTGGGCAGCACCTATGACTTGCTTTTTGTTACTGGGTTTGGCAAAAAAGGGGTGGGGGGAGATTTTGCAGATGTAATTAGCTCCTAAACCATTGATTTTGACATCAGGCCCTGGGCCGCCCTAAGTTACCAAATGAAGTGAAAATTCTAAGAAGAAGAGGAACTGAGCTTCCCCTGAGCTGACATGGCTAGCCCATGTTGAAGAAGTGCGTGGCAAGGAACTGTGGGCAACATCTATGGACTGAGGGCAGCCTCAAGACAACAGCTAGGAGAAGTTGGGGCCCTTGCTCATAAAGTTGCAAGGGAATTAATTCTGCTAACACCACTGATGGGTTTAAAAGTGAAGTGTTCCTCTGTCAAGCCTGCATATGAGAACACGGCACTAGCACCTCAATTGCAGCCTTGTGAGAACCTGATCAGAGGACTCAGGCTATGCTCAGATACCCGCCTCATGAAAACCATGAAATGATAAACGCGTGTGTTTGAAGCTGCTAAGTTTAGTGTGGTCCTTTGTTATTAAGCAATGGAGAGCTAATAGGGACAGCTTCCAGATTTAGAGGATATGGGGGAGAAGGGAGACCTCTCTCTGCTTAGTACAAGATTTTGTGATCATGGCAGGGAGAATGAAGCTGTTATTTTTTTATTTTTATTTATTATTATTATTATTTTTATTGAATGAAGCTGTTATTGACAGAAACAGGGAAGTCAGGAATAGAAACCAATCCTAGTGGGGGATGGGAAAGATAATGAAAACTTAAGTTTTGATGTGCTGAATTTGGGGAAAATACAAATGCCTGCAGTCATCTGGAATTAGGGATTGGGGTTTAAGGGAAAACTCAGGGGTGACAGACCTGGTTTTTCTCAGCATAGAGGTGACAGCTGAAATCCTGAGAATAATAGAGTTCTCTAAAAGAAGGGGTTCAGAAAGAAAGGAGCAGGAAAGTGACTACAGATCTTGGGGAAGGAAGGCAGGACTAGACGCAAGGGAACCAGTACCTGTGATCGTTAGAAAGGACTGTGATTGGGGCACCTGGGTGGCTAAGTGGGTTGGGCATCCAGCCCTTGATTTGGGCTCAGGTCGTGATCTCTGGGTGGTGGGAGCAAGCTCTGCCTTAGGCACCCCACTCTGTAGAGTCAGCTTGAGATTCTCTCTGTTTCTCTCCCTCTGCTCTCTTTCTTTCTCATAAATAAAGATCCTTTTCTTTTTTTTTTTAGATTTTTTATTTTATTTACTCAGGAGACATACAGAGCGTGCGAGAGAGGCAGAGACACGGGCAGAGGGAGAAGTAGGCTCCATGCAGGGAGTCCGACGTGGGACTCGATCCAAGGTCCCCAGGATCAGGCCCTGGGCTGAAGGCGGCGCTAAACCGCTGCGCCACCGGGGCTGCCCCAAGATCTTTTTCTTTTTCTTTTTTTTTTTATTTTTTTAAAATTTATTTATTTATGATAGTCACACACAGAGAGAGAGAGAGGCAGAGACATAGGCAGAGGGAGAAGCAGGCTCCATGCACCGGGAGCCTGATATGGGATTCGATCCGGGTCTCCAGGATCGCGCCCTGGGCCAAAGGCAGGCGCCAAACCGCTGTGCCACCCAGGGATCCCTCCAAGATCTTTTTCTTAAAAAAAAAAAAAAAAAAAAAAAAAAAGAGTACTGTGATTAATCGGTTCTGTTGGCTCTGGGCGTAATTATAATGCAACCGCTAGGAGGCAGTCTATCTTACAGGTAAGAAAAGTAAGAACTCAAAGGTTTAAATCATCCAGACCCACTGTCACACTAAAAGCAAGCGAATGCAGGATTCTAACTCAGCTATCACACCAAAGCCAGGGATCCTTCCGCTGCCTTTAATTCATCTTTATTTTCCAAGAAAAGGGTAAATAAATTGCGTAAGCGGGGGCGAGGAACGGGGGGGGGGGGAGCTCTCCAGGTGAAACGGAAAGCATCCTCCGGCCGCTGCTCTCCTTGCTGCCAGTAGAGGTCGCCCGAGCACGGACTCCGCGGGCCCCCCGGTGCGCGCAGGCGCGGGCGCAGGCGCAGGCGCAGGCGCGCTGGGCTCCGCTCGCCCTGGCGCGCAGGGCCGGTGGGGGCGGGTCACGCCGAGCGCGCGGCCGGGAGCGGCGCTGGCGGCTGGCGGGTGGCGGCTGCGGCGGTGGCGGCGGCGGCGGCGGGGCTGCGGACCGGGAGCCGGCGCGGGGCCCTGGGCAAGCCAAGCGCCGTGCAGTGCTGAGCCCGCCGCCCGCCGGGGAGCCATGGAAATCGGCACCGAGATCAGCCGCAAGATCCGGGTGAGGCCCGTGTCAGGCGGGGGCGGGAAGCCGGGCCTCAGCGGGCGGCCGGGCGCGCGGTTGTCAGGAGTAACGGGGACTGTGGGCCCGGCCCGGCCTGCACGCCGCGGCCTAGTGGCTGCGCCGCCGGGGGCTGTGGGGCCGCCGCGGCCTCGGCGAACGGGCTCCTCCGCGGCCTGGGCCGCCTCGGGCCTGGCGCGGACGCGGCCCCTGAGAGCGCCGTGGAGGAAGCGGCCGGGCGCCTGAGGAGGCGGGGGGCGGCGGGCGGGGGGCGCCGCGGGGACGGGGGGGAGGGGAGGCGGAGGGAGGGGAAGGGGAGGGCCCGGGCGCCTCCCCGCCCCCACCGGGGCGCCGAGCGGGCGGCGGGAGCGCGCAGCCGCCGACTCGGGGCTGCCTTACGGGGCCGCCTGGTTTTCCGCCTTTCTCACAAGCGTGTTCGCCTTTCTGCTCTTCCCTCAGAGTGCCATTAAGGGGAAATTGCAAGAATTAGGAGCTTACGTTGGTAAGTTTTATTTTTCATTGTTGTTGTTGTCAGCCTAAGAGAATTTAGAGTTTGCCGCTGAGTAAATTTTAGAAAAAAAATTTTTTTTCTCCTACGTACTTTTGATTTTTTTTAAAGATTTTTAAAATTTATTTATTTATTTATTTATTTATTTATTTATTTATTTATTTATTTATTTATGAGAGGGAGAGAGAGAGCGCGCACGAGCAGGGGGAGGGGCAGAGACAGAAGCAGAAGCAGACTCCTCGCGGAGCAGGGAGGCGGATATGCGGGGCTTGATCCCAAGACCCTGGGGTCACGACCTGAGCCGAAGGCAGATGCTTAATCGACTGAGCCACCCAGGCGCCCCCGTACTTTGGTTTTTGAAAGGATCCCCGTTGTATTAATTAATTTTTTTCCCCGTTGTATTTAAAGTCTGATTCTCTGCGGTTCTTTCTCTTAACCGTCTTTTCTTGAAAGCTCTATACGCAATCTTGGTTGTTTGATATTTCAGTTTCTGTGTTTTCCCCCCCAGAACCGCCTTTTAATAACGGTGTTTTATAAACCTTGTTTAGCTTCCTCAGTTGAGGCTCTCTCCTATTTTCCATACTGTTGATCTGATTCTTACTGCTTTTCTTATTCTCCCTGTTTTCATCTTGATCTTCTTGTTTCAGAACTGTTATTTTGCATATGAATGGTTTCTGGCTTTTGCCTCTGTCATGGTTCAGTGAGTTTTATTTTTAAAGGTCTATCCCCCCCCCTCCCTTTTTCTTACCACCCACAGTAATGTGTTCTCTTTCTCTTTTTTTGTGACTTACAACTTGAGTATTTACTTTGGGTCAGGCACAGTGCTTAACCATTGTCTTTGTGTTAGGTCATGATAATAGGCAGGAGAACACGGGAAGGTAAGTGGTAATACCCCTACTTGCATAAGCAAGGGAACCAGCTTTGAGTGCTGACGTGACCTATGTTTTATGGATTGAGATCTGGGTCTGTTTAACTCCAAAGCTGGTGTCTCCTGTAAAAATAATAGCTACTGTTTATACAGCGGTTCTATTTTAAAACTTTTTTTAAGATTTTATTTATTTCTTCATGAGAGACACACAGCACGAGAGAGAGAGGCAGACACACAGGCAGAGGGAGAAGCAGGCTCCATGCAGGGAGCCAGACATGGGACTTGATCCCCTGTCTCCAGAGAACACAGGCAGAGAGAGAAGCAGGCACCATGCAGAGAGCCAGACGTGGGACTCGATCCAGGGTCTCCCAGGATCACGCCCTAGGCCGCAGGCGGCGCTAAATCACTGTGCCACCAGGGCTGCAACATGGACCTTCTTAATCCAGTGTGGATTTCAGCCCCTTTAGTTTGTAAAGGTCACCAAGGAAGCTCCCATGGCAGAAAATTATGGACAAGAATTGTAAAGCAGTAGAACCCCCACCTATTTTAAATGTTGTAAACTAAAGCTGCTATAGGTTTCTGCAAAAGAAAAAAAAAAAAAAGGGATCCCTGGGTGGCGCAGCGGTTTGGCCCCTGCCTTTGGCCCAGGGCGCGATCCTGGAAACCCGGGATCGAATCCCACGTCAGGCTCCCCATCCATGGAGCATGGAGATGTGTGACTATCATAAATAAATAAAAATTAAAAAATAATAAAATTGTGGCATACTATATATAGCATAAATTAAAAAAAAACAAAAAACAAAAAAACCGGGCTACCCTAAACAGTGGTTCGCAAGGTGTGAGAGACCAAGGGTCTCTGAAGTCAAAACTGTTTTCATATTAATACTGGTAGGGGGATCCCTGGGTGGCTCAGAGGTTTTGTGCCTGCCTTTGGCCCAGGGCGCGATCCTGGAGTCCCGGGATCGAGTCCCACGTCAGGCTCCCGGCATGGAGCCTGCTTCTCCCTCTGCCTGTGTCTCTGCCTCTCTCTCTCTCTCTCTCTCTCTCTCACTCTCTCATCATGAATAAATAAATAAATCTTTAAAAAAAATACTGATAGGGTGCTTACCATTTTCACTGTGCTGGCATTTGGATTGTGCAAAAGCAGTGGTGAGTTAAACTGGTGGTACATTGGTCTGAACTGAGGTCTCACACCAAACTCAATGAGAAATAATATTTATCACCCCTCCACTGGGAATTTTTTCTAAAAGCCAGTTACATTTAAGAATGTAATTAGTGAGACAGTAAGAATACTTTTAAAATTTTGACCCTTGACTACATTTTTTTAGGGATATGATGTGAGAAAATAGGAATTACTCATAAAGTACTTATATTATGCTGTATATTAAAAACAGATTGGATTTTCTGAAGGGGAAGGATTTGTGTGATTTGAATTAGCTACCTTTGAGGATGCCTGGGTGGCTCTGTGGTTGAACGTCTACCTTTGGCTCAGGGTATTTTCCTGGAGTCCCAGGATCGAGTCCCACATTGGGGTCCCCACATGGAGCCTGCTTCTCCCTCTGCCTGTGTCTCTGCCTCTCTCTCTGTGTGTCTCATGAATAAATAAATTAAAAAAAATTAAAAACATGAATTGGCCACCTTTTTCATGGAACATCTTTATCACCTATGACTTACAAGCAAATTGGGTATTTGGCAGGCATCTTGAAGTTGAACAAAGGAAAAGAAGTGATACATTTGTTACTAATGACAAAAGAGCTTTCAAATGAAAATTAGAATTTTGAAAAGTTTGTCTGCCTTAGTGAACTTTAAAGCTTCCCAGTGCTTAAAAGAATTTCTGATAACCTTAACAAATGATTCTTTTATATCTTGTAATGAATTATATCAACATGTCAGTGATTTGTATAGCTCCCTCAACTAGTATTTTTTCAAATGATCATGATGTTACAAAATTATTCAAGAGAAAAAGATTCATTAAAAGTAGAGGATGGATCTGGGCATCCCAGGTGGCTCAGTGGTTTAGCGCCACCTTCAGCCCAGGGCGTGATCTTGGAGACCTGGGATCCAGTGCCACGTCGGGGCTCCCTCCATGGAGCCTGCTTCTCCCTCTATTTGTCTCTGCATCCCTCTGTGTTTCTTATGGATAAATAAATTTAAAAAAAATTTTTTTAAAAAGATTTTATTTATTCATGATAGAGAGGCAGAGACACAGGCAGAGGGAGAAGCAGGCTCCACGCTGGGAGCCTGACACGGGACTTGATCCTGGGACTCCAGGATCATGCCCTGGGCCAAGGCAGGCGCCAAACCGCTGAGCCACCCAGGGATCCCCAATAAATAAAAATCTTTATTTATTTATTTTTTTAAGATTTTTTTTTTTAATTTATTTATTCAAAGAGAGAGAGACTGAGAGGCAGAGACACAGGCAGAGGGAGAAGTGGGCTCCATGCAGGGAGCCCGACGCAGGACTCGATCCTGGGTCTTCAGGATCACACCCCGGGCTGTAGGTGGTGCTAAACTGCTGCGCCACTGGGGCTGCCCTAAATAAAAATCTTAAAAAAAAAAAAAAAAAGGATGGATCAGTGGATTTTCATGTAACAGTTACAAAAAGGTTATTGATAGAGTTTTAGTTTCCATATTGTTGCTAACCTTTAAGAAACTACTACTTGTTGAGTTTTGGTGTAGTATCACAGAAGAATGTCCATTGTATTTGTAAAGGCTATTAAAGCACAGTTGACCCTTGAACAACTTAGGGGTTAGGGCTGCTGGATTACCCCCCCCCCCCCAAGCACAGTTGAAAATACAGCTTTTGACTTCCTAATAGCCTACTGTTAATCAGAAGTCTTACTGGTAACATAAAGTTAAGACACATTTTGTATGTTGTGTGTATTCTATACTATATTTTTACAAAAAGTAAGCAAGAGAAAAGAAAGCACAAATGTCATAAGGAGAAAAAAATGTTTTATATATACGTATATATATATATATATATATACACGTATATATAAAACCCAGTTACAATTGGACCCTGGCAGTTCAAACTCATGTTTAAGGGTCAGCTACATTTCCTTTTTTTTTTTTTTTAATATTATTTATTCATGAGAGACACAGAGAGAGAGAGGGAGGCAGAGACAGAGGGAGAAGCAGGCTCCATGCAGGGAGTCCGATACAGGACTTGGTCCCGGGCCTCAGGATCAGGCCCTGGGCCAAAGGTGGTGCTAAACCACTGAGCCACCTGGGCTGCCCCTACATTTCCAACTATGTAGTCTTGAGGCCAGATTTTCTTCATATTCTTCAATTAGAACTGCATATCATAAAAGGTTAAGTGCAGAAACAAATTGGAATACAGTTGTCTTTTTAAAAACTAGGTATTAAGAAATTAATAAAAATAGAACTATTTTTGCATTAATTTTTTTGGAAAACTTAATTATTTAATTTAATTTTTTTTTTTAGATGTTATTTATTCATGAGAGACACTGAGAGAAAGAGGCAAAGACACAGGCAGAGGGAGAATCAGGCTCCATGCAGGGAGCCCCATATTGGACTCCATCATGGGACTCCAGGATCACGCCCTGGGCCGAAGGCAGGCGCTCAACCGCTGACCCACCCAATTAACCATCTTTTAAAACATAAAATAACTAAGCTGGGACACCTGGGTGGCTCAGCGGTTGAGCGCCTGCCTTCGGCCCAGGGCGTGGTCCTGGAGTCCCTGGATCCAGTATCTGCCTGTGTCTCTGCCTCTCTCTCTCTGTCTCTCATGAATGAATAAATCTTTAAAAAAAAATTTAAAAGCTGGTAATTATATCATATAAATGGGTTTATTAATGTGATAGGTGTGTTACTTTAAGACTTTTTTAAATTCTCAGTTTTTCTAAAATAGTAATTACTAACAGATAATTCACATAAATAAAAGTTCTTTGGGGTTATCAGTGTTTTTTTTTTTTTTTTAAATTTAATTTTTTTTTTTGAGAGAGTGCCCACATGCCTGCTTGTGCATGCAAGCTGGGAAAGGAGCAGAGGGGGAGAGAGTATCCCAAGTACTCAGCATGGAGCCCAGTAAGGGGCTCCATCTCAGGGTATTGAGATCATGATCTGAGCCAAAATTAAGAGTTGGAAGTTTTTTATTTTTTTT